CAAATTCCTAATTCAATGCATCAAACGCTCTGCGATTAACTGAATTTCTGATTTTTGACTGACCTTTTGACATCGGTAATACTATTCCTTATCTTATCCTGTAGATAAGATACTATTCCTTCTATATCTTGTAGCTTGTATTTGAACTAGACTGGTAGCATTTTATCATGCTTTTACATGTTTTTGCCAACAACATCCCTATCTCTTGCTGCAGCAGTATTTCTCATCCCGTTTCCTACCAGAGACTGGCATGTTACAGAACTACTCAAAATAAACCAAGAGCTTAACAAGCCAACTGATAAACTAACTGGAAGAATAGCAAACAGTATTCCACAGACTGTTCTACAGGGACCTGCTTAAATGCCAGAATCCATCCAGCCAGCCTGGCCCTCCAGGAGATCAAAACCAGGCAGATACCCTCCACTACTGGCTCAAATAGCTGACCAATCAGCCTGTTACCAACCCTTAGTAAAGTTTTGTAAAAAATTGTTTGACCAGATACAAATTGACAACAGACTTTCAGCACGCTTATAGGGAAGGACATTCAACAAGCACGGCACTTACACAAATGACTGATGATTGGCTGAGAGAAATTGATGATTGATGTTTTGTTAGACTTCAGTGCTTTTGACATTATCGATCATAGTCTACTGATAGAAAAACGTATGTGTTATGGCTTTACACCCCCTGCTATATTGTGGATAAAGAGTTACCTGTCTAACAGAACACAGAGGGTGTTCTTTCATGGAAGCCTCTCCAACTTTATTATGTCATGTTTTGTGTGGACCCCAGGAAGAGTAGCTGCTGCTTTTGCAACAGCTAATGGGGATCCTAATAAAATACCAAAATACCAAACATAATCCTGATAGAATCAGGAATTCCCCAGGGCAGCTGTCTAGGCCCCTTACTTTTTTTCAATTTTTACTAATGACATGCCACTGGCTTTGAGTAAAGCCAGTGTGTCTATGTATGCAGATGACTCAGCTACTACAGCGAGTGAAATCATTGCAACACTTAACAAAGAGTTGCAGTTAGTTTCAGAATGGGTGGCAAGGACTAAGTTAGTCCTAAATGTTTGAAAAGCTAAAAGCATTGTATTTGGGACAAATCATTCACTAAACCCTAAACCTCAAATAAGTATTGTAATACATAATGTGGAAATTGAGCAAGTTGAGGTGACTAAACTGCTTGGAGTAACCCTGGATTGTAAACTGTCATGGTCAAAACGTGTTGATACAACAGTAGCTAAGATGGGGAGAAGTCTGTCCATAATAAAGTGCTGCTCTGCCTTCTTAACAGCACTATCAACAAGGCAGGTCCTACAGGCCATAGTTTTGTCGCACCTGGACTACTGTTTAGTCGTGGGGTCAGGTGCCACAAAAAGGGACCTCGGAAAATTACAATTGGCTCAGAACAGGGCAGCACAGTTGGCCCTTAAATGTACACGGAGAGCTAACATTAATAATATGCATGTACATCTCTCATGGCTCAAAGTGGAGGGAGAGATTGACTTCATCACTACTTTTTTTTTTTTTTACCCCCTTTTTCAATCTTGTCTCATCGCTGTAACTCCCCAACGGGCTCGGGAGGCGAAGGTCAGCCTGCAGGCGCCCGGCCCGCCACAAGAGCACGATGAGCCAAGTAAAGCCCCCCCCGGCCAAACCCTCCCCTAACCCGGACGATGCTGGGCCAATTGTGCGCCGCCCTATGGGACTCCCGATCACGGCCAGTTGTGATACAGCCCGGGATCGAACCCAGGTCTGTAGTGATGCCTCTAGCACTGCGATGTAGTGCCTTAGACCGCTGCACCACTTGGGAGGCCCTATCACTACTTGTTTTTGTAAGAAGTGTTGACATGCTGAATGCACCGAGGTGTCTATTTAAACTACTAGCACACAGCTTGGACACCCATGCATACCCCACAAGACATGCAACCAAAGGTCTCTTCACAATCCCCAAGTCAAAACCAGAGTATGGGAGGCGCACAGTACTACATAGAGCCATGGCCACATGGAACTCTATTCTATATCAGGTAACTGATGCAAGAATCAGATTTCTAAAAAACCCTGATAAAAATACACCTTATGGGACAGCTGGGACTGTGAAGAGACACACACACACAGGCACAGACACACATGATAAGACACGCACTCTGCACACACGTACACATGAATTTTGTATTGTAGATATGTGGTAGTAGAGTAGTGGTCTGAGGGAACACACTAAATGTGTTGTGAAAAGTGTTATATTTTAAATTGTTTATAACTGCCTTAATGTTGCTTGACCCCAGGAAGAGTAGCTGCTGCCATGGCAGCAGCTAATGTGGATCCTTAATAAATACAAATACTACAGTAGACTCTTCCTACATCCCCCTGCAGCAAGGACACAGAGGACAAACTGATTTACCACTGAACAACTCCTCAATACACGCTCACACATTCACACAGGTGAGTGAATGTACAAGACAAGTCACTCTCCATCTCCTCTGCAGATTCAACACAACACTCACTCAAACACACATACTTGCCATGCAAGGCATGCACAGGTTACGGGTTTCCTACATTAGCTACAATTTCTCCCTGCGGATCTAATTATGGGGCGTATTCAGAATGTACTATTATCTTAGACCTGCTCCCCTCTACTCTTCAGGGGTCTGGAGGAAAACTCCTCTTAATGAACTCCACAAATACTACTGACAGACACAACTTTTCCCATTCATATTAATCTAGGTTAAATATTAATGAATGTATTGGTATTTCAGCAGTATCTAGGGCTAGAGGAAGTTATTGTATCCCTGGGGGTTCAGGCGATGCTCTTCCTGTAGCTGAGTAGTGAGGAGGAGAAAATGGTAGAGGAGAGGAGAGTTAACTTGGCAGCACAACCCAAATAAGCCCTAGAGATCAGGAAGTGGGCTTGTGTACCGCTGGCGGGCTCGGACAAGGCATTAGCTCTGTGAGTATGTTGTGTGAGTGTGTCTGTAAGCTTTGACTGACTGCTGTGAAACCAGGCCTACGCAAGGCTCCCCAAGGGTGATACAGAGTACAGAATGGGTCAACACACCAGATCTCATCTCACATGACCTCCAAAGTCATTTTATTTCAGCATGACATTTATCCCCACAATATTGACATCAATCATCAGTTAAATAAAAAAGGATATAAAATACCATCCAATTTAATCTATTTAAAATATGCTGTAACCTTGATTGTATCGGCTTGATTGTATCGACGAGTCCAGAATATGTTCTTAAACATATAATATAATACCAATAACTTAATAATGCATGTCTGCCAATGTGAAAATACCAGCAGGCCAATACATTTGCTTGTCAAAGTGTGTGAAGTCTGTAATAACAAGAGAACGCTATTCTCTTCTTTCCACTGATAAAGAAACCCATAGGGAGAATGAAGACAATATGTAATGTATTGCCAATAGCAAGATAATAGAGAAATGTTGAGACGGTCAAATAGCTTTAAGTTAAGTGCTTTTTCAGAAAGATGGGAACACACAGTACTGCAGGGTTGGTAATCCCTCTTTAGGTAACCCAGTGTGCCAATAGAATACAGTGGCTGACTAATATAACCTGCCATCCCTCCTCCCACTTGTTCTACAGGGTGTGTGTTTGCTGATTGATGCATGGGCTTTCTGCTTACATCCAACAAACAACCACACTACTAGGAGTTTTGCCTTTCAACAATTGTCTATATTGGTATTCAGTGCTATTAAGCTGTGGGGACAATATTGCTAAACTAAAGCTCAATAGTTATCAAAACCTTGAAGACTACTCCAAAAGAGTCTGTGCTGGATTGCTGATGTTTTCTTCACTTGCTCTTTCCATGACATAGACTGACCAGGTGAATCCAGGTAAAAGCTATGATCCGTTATTGATGTCACTAAATCCATTTCAATCAGTGTAGATGAAGGGGAGGAGACAGGTTAAATAAGGATTTTTAAACCTTGAGACAATTGAGACATGGATTGTGTATGTGTGCCATTCAGAGGGTGAATGGGCAAGACAAAATATTTAAGGGCCTTTGAACGGGGTATGGTAATAGGTGCCAGGCGCACCGGTTTGTGCCAAGAACTGCAATGCTGCTGGGTTTTTCACACTCAACAGTTCCCTGTGTGTATCAAGAAATGGTCCACCACCCAAAGGACATCCAGCCAACTTCACACAACTGTGGAAAGCATTGGAGTCAACATGGGCCAGCATCCCCGTGGAACGGTTTCGAAAACCTTGAGGAACTCAATATTAGGAAGGGTTTTGTACACTCAGTGTATAGTGGGGTTGTATAAGCTGCTGAAGAAGTGCTGGAGCCCACTGATTATGGAGCAGGGTAGGAAGCTCTCAAAGAACAAGCAGTAGGAAAAAGTTGAATCAGAAGGTGTTTATCACAGAGAGAATCTAATTTACAAATCCAAACTTTCTCTCTCTGTTGTACATGAAATTAACCCTGCTGTGTTCTTCATCCACTCAGAAACTGTTTTGGGCGGCTATTTAGCTCTTGTGTACAAAGTCACAGTCACACACATACATGCACACGTATGCTGATACATACGGACATCTCTTCTCTTCCCTGCTCATATTAGGAGAGAGGCTCAGGGCCTCGTGTATACCGCAACAAAAATAAGGTAAATGGGAAACATAAGCGAAAACGATGGATCCTCAACTCAGAAACTGTTTCCTTTTACCTTGACCCTTGGGCCAGGGGAAATAATCTTATTAAAGTCTTTAAAGGCAAAGAAAAAAAAGATACTATAGAAATATGGTAATTATAGAATGAAAACATTTTCAGTTGATTAATGCTTGAGGGTGAATCAGTGGACTTGGAGGTGCTTGCTGGGCTGCCATCACATCCCTGGATCAGCATCTCTGTGTATCAGTCTCAGCAAGGGACGAGGCCTGAGCCAGACCCATGAGCTCTAGCAGAGGGAGGGGCCGGAGAGACCAACCCTCTGAAGAGAGTTTCCGCCAGACATAAGGGTCAGAGAGGGGGCTAGAGGGAGCTCTGTGTCCTGATAAAGGCTGTCCTCTCACTGTGGCAGTCCAGCTCCTCGCTGTCCGACTCAGAGCCCCCCAGTGTTACCTGGTCCTCGTCCCCCCACACGGTGGGGATCCCTTTATAGGACACCCTGCCCTGCCTCTCCCAGCCCAGCCCCAGGCCGAAGCCAAAGCCCACACGGATGCCCCCCGAGGCCCCTCCGCCTGTCTCCACAGAGTGCAGTTTGGTCCTCCGGGCCCAGGGGGCACCACCTGAGCGCAGCTGCAGCAGGAGGAAGACCCCGGCGAAGGCTGCCAAGATGAAGGCACAGCTGAGCACCGCCAGCAGGGTGACCAGAGGGGAGGACAGGCCCAGGCTAGGCCCTGGAGACTCTTCCTCTCCCCCCTGCTCTGACCCCACTGGGCTCTCCCCTGGTGCACTCCCCTCTCCCTGGAGGACGGGGCCAGTTGGGGACTTGCGCTGGACCTGGTTCTGGTGCAGGCAGGCGGTGAGGACCAGGTGACTGTGAGGGGGGCAGGAGAGGCAGTCGTTGGGCCCAGGGCTGGAGCAGGTGAGGCAGGCAGGGTGGCAGGGCAGGCAGGCCTGGATGGAGGACAAGTCCACCCAGTTGTCCAGGGACAGGTTGAGGAGCTGGGGGCCTGAGGTGAAGCCAGGGGGGCAGAGCTTCACACAACCCTGCAGGAACAGGGAGAAGCCTGGGCTGCACTCTGGATATGGGGAGAGAGGGGAAGAGGGAAAGAGAAAGAGGAAGAGATGAGTGAGAGAGAGCGAGAAAGCGAGATGATACACATACAAAGGGGGATGAGGTGCTGCTTTTCTGAGCAGTCAGTGGGGACAAACATTCGTACATACAACCCCACACAAAAAGGCAAAAACATGCCTGAAACCTTTTAACAGTCCTGCCATATGCATGAGAAGCCCACATCCACATGCCGAGTGTCACCAAGAGGCTTCTGACCCCATCTGCCTCCTCTCAGCCTCCCAAAACACAGCTGCTCTCCAACCCAACACCTCTCTCAATGTCACAGCCCTACTGCTGCCTGCCTGCCAGCCACTACTACATACCCCTCTCTGCTTTTCCAAAGTGACACCACATATGTTGTTTTCTCACACATTTGGGGTGATGCATACTCATGCATCACGATAAGAGAGACATTTAACTTTCAAATGGGTTTGGCTTGGCATTAAATGTGTATTCATGCTTTCGCGCAGCCCTCAAACTAGACACTCTGAATATTTTATGACCTGAGCTAGGCTTCATAACTTCATAAGTAGGTCTAGTAAGTGAATACTGTCCATAGCAATGAGCTAGGAACTCAACATGTCCCGTCATCAGTACCAGCAGTTACCAATGGAGGGCGCTGTCTCAATGTGTAAAGAGAGTAGGAATCTTAGTGCTAGCTAGTTGTCTCAGTGTGTCTCAGACAGTCAGTCTCACCTATGCAGATCTGCTGGGCGTCGAAGGTCTTGCAGCTGTTGTTGGACGGCCGGGGGAAGTCAGGAGACGAGGGGTTAATGGAGCTGGAGCCCGTACCGTACAGGATCAGAGTAAACTGACTCAACACACCTGAGAGATGGGGAGGAGAGAGAGAGTGAACACATTTCAAACTCAAGAGAGAGGAGAAAGAAGAACAGAGAGAATGAACAATTCAATACCCCCAAGAGGAGAGAGGTAGACTGGGTGAGTGTGTCAGAGAGATAGTAATATAATGATGAGGAAGAGGGAAGAGGGAGGTGAGCTGACTGACAAACCCAGGGAGAGGAGGAGAAAGGCTGACTAAGAACACCTGACAGAGAATGAGAGAGAGAAAGAATGAGAGCGAGAGAGAGGTAACTGCACACCCTAATTGACAAACAAACAAACCAAAACAAAGGCAAAGTCTTTTCATTCTTTGTTGATTTCAAAAACGCTTTTGACTCAATTTGGCATGAAGATCTGCAATACAAATTGATGGAAAGCGGTATTAGGGGAAAAACATATGACATTATAAAATCCATGTACACAAACAACGGTGTGCGGTTATGATTGGCAAAAAACACACACATTTCTTTCCCCAGGGCTGTGGAGTGAGACAGGGATGCAGACCCACCCTTTTCAGCATATACAGTGCATTCGGAAAATATTCAGAATTTCCCTTTTTCCACATTTTGTTACGTTACAGCCTTATTCTAAAATGGATTAAATTAATTTTTTCCCTCATCAATCTACACACAATACCTCAAAATGACAAAGCGAAAACAGGTTTTTAGAAATTTTTGCAAATGTATAACAAATAAACTGAAATACCTTATTTACATAAGTATTCAGACCCTTTTCTATGAGACTTGAAATTGAGCTCAGGTGCATCCTGTTTCCATTGATCATCCTTGAAATGTTTCTACAACTTGATTGGAGTCCACCTGTGGTAAATGAAATTGATTGGACATGATTTGGAAAGGCACACACCTGTCTATATAAGGTCCCACAGTTGACAGTGCATACAGTTGAAGTCGGAGGTTTACATACACTTAGGTTGGAGACATTAAAACTCGTTTTTCAACCACTCCACAAATTTCTTGTTAACAAACTATAGTTTTGGCAAGTCGGTTAGGACATCTACTTTGTGCATGACACAAGTCATTTTTCCAACAATTGTTTACAGACAGATTATTTCACTTATAATTCACTGTATCACAATTCCAGTGGGTGAGAAGTTTACATGTTGACTGTGCCTTTAAACAGCTTGGAAAATTCCAGAAAATGATGTAATGGCTTTAGAAGCTTCTGATAGGCTAATTGACATCATTTGAGTCAATTGGAGGTGTACCTGTGGATGTACAGTGGGGAGAACAAGTATTTGATACACTGCCGATTTTGCAGGTTTTCCTACATACAAAGCATGTAGAGGTCTGTAATTTTTATCATAGGTACACTTCAACTGTGAGAGACGGAATCTAAAACAAAAATCCAGAAAATCACATTGTATGATTTTTAAGTAATTAATTTGCATTTTATTGCATGACATAAGTATTTGATACATCAGAAAAGCAGGAACTTCATATTTGGTACAGAAACCTTTGTTTGCAATTACAGAGATCGTACGTTTCCTGTAGGTCTTGATCAGGTTTGCACACACTGCAGCAGGGATTTTGGCCCACTCCTCCATACAGACCTTCTCCAGATCCTTCAGGTTTCGGGGCTGTCGCTGGGCAATATGGACTTTCAGCTCCCTCCAAAGATGTTCTATTGGGTTCAGGTCTGGAGACTGGCTAGGACCCTCCAGGACCTTGAGATGCTTCTTACAGAGGTACTCCTTAGTTTCCCTGGCTGTGTGTTCCGGGTCGTTGTCATGCTGGAAGACCCAGCCACGACCCATCTTCAATGCTCTTACTGAGGGAAGGAGGTTGTTGGCCAAGATCTCGCGAAACATGGCCCCATCCATCCTCCCCTCAATACGGTGCAGTCGTCCTGTCCCCTTTGCAGAAAAGCATCCCCAAAGAATGATGTTTCCACCTCCATGCTTCACGGTTGGGATGGGTGTTCTTGGGGTTGTACTCCTACTTCTTCGTCCTCCAAACACGGCGAGTGGAGTTTAGACCAAAAAGCTCTAATTTTGTCTCATCAGACCACATGACCTTCTCCCATTCCTCCTCTGGATCATCCAGATGGTCATTGGCAAACTTCAGACGGGCCTGGACAGGCTTGAGCAGGGGGACCTTGCGTGCGCAGCAGGATTTTAATCCATGACGGCGTAGTGTATTACTAATGGTTTTCTTTGAGACTGTGGTCCCAGCTCTCTTCAGGTCATAGACCAGGTCCTGCCGTGTAGTTCTGGGCTGATCCCTTACCTTCCTCATGATCATTGATGCCCCACGAGGTGAGATCTTGCATGGAGCCCCAGACCGAGGGTGATTGACCGTCATCTTGAACTTCTTCCATTTTCTAATAATTGCGCCAACAGTTGTTGCCTTCTCACCAAGCTGCTTGCCTATTGTCCTGTAGCCCATCCCAGCCTTGTGCAGGTCTACAATTTTATCCCTGATGTCCTTACACAGCTCTCTGGTCTTTGCCATTGTGGAGAGGTTGGAGTCTGTTTGATTGAGTGTGTGGACAGGTGTTTTTTATACAGGTAACGAGTTCAAACAGGTGCAGTTAATACAGGTAATGAGTGGAGAACAGGAGGGCTTCTTAAAGAAAAACTAACAGGTCTGTGAGAGCCGGAATTCTTACTGGTTGGTAGGTGATCAAATACTTATGTCATGCAATAAAATGCAAATTAATTACTTAAAAATCATACAATGTGATTTTCTGGATTTTTGTTTTAGATTCCGTCTCTCACAGTTGAAGTGTACCTATGATAAAAATTACAGACCTCTACATGCTTTGTAAGTAGAATAACCTGCAAAATCGGCAGTGTATCAAATACTTGTTCTCCACTCTGTATTTCAAGGCCTACCTTTAAACTCAGTGCTTCTTTGCTTGACATCATGGGAAAATCAAAAGAAATCAGCAAAGACCTCAGAAAAAAAATGGTAGACCTCCACAAGTCTGGTTCATCCTTGGGAGCAATTTCCAAACACCTGAAGGTACCACGTTCATCTGTACAAACAATAGTACGCAAGTATAAACACCATGGGACCACGCAGCCATCATACCGCTCAGGAAGGAGACACGTTCTGTCTTCTAGAGATGAACATTGGTGCGAAAAGTGCAAATATATTCCAGAACAACAGCAAAGGACCTTGTGAATATGCTGGAGGAAACAGGTACAAAAGTATATATATCCACAGTAAAACAAGTCCTATATCAACATAACCTGAAAGGCCGCTCAGCAAGGAAGAAGCCACTGCTCCAAAACCACCATAAAAAAGTCAGACTACGGTTTGCAACTGCACATGGAGACAAAGATCGTACTTTTTGGAGAAATGTCCTCTGGTCTGATGAAACAAAAATAGAACTGTTTGGCCATAATGACCATCGTTATGTTTGGAGGAAAAGGGGGATGCTTGCAAGCCGAAGAACACCATCCCAACGTGAAGCACGGGGGTGGCAGCATCATGCTGTGGGGGTGCTTTGCTGCAGGAGGGACTGGTGCACTTCACAAAATAGATGGCATCATGAGGAAGGAAAATTATGTGGATATATTGAAGCAACATCTCAAGACATCAGTCAGGAAGTTAAAGCTTGGTCGCAAATGAGTCTTCCAAATGGACAATGACCCCAAGCATACTTCCAAAGTTATGGCAAAATGGCTTAAGGACAACAAAGTCAAGGTATTGGAGTGGCCATCACAAAGCCCTGACCTCAATGCTATAGAACATTTGTGGGCAGAACTGAAAAAGCGTGTGCGAGCAAGGAGGCCTACAAACCTGACTCAGTCACACTAGCTCTGTCAGGAGGAATGGGCCAAAATTCACCCAATTTATTGTGGGAAGCTTGTGGAAGGCTACCGGAAACGTTTGACCCAAGTTAAACAATTTAAAGGCAATACTACCAAATACTAATTGAGTGTATGTCAACTTCTGACCCACTGGGAATGTGATGAAATAAATAAAAGCTGAAATAAATCACTCTCTACTATTATTCTGACATTTCACATTCTTAAAATAAAGTAGTGATCCTAACTGACCTAAGACAGGGAATTTTTACTAGGATTAAATGTCAGGAATTGTGAAAAACTGAGTTTAAATGTATTTGGCTAAGATGTACGTAAACTTCCGACTTCAACTGTATCAGAGCAAAAACCAAGCCATGAGGTCGAAGGAATTGTCCGTAGAGCTCCGAGGCAGGATTGTCTCGAGGCACAGATCTGGGGAAGGGGACCAAAAGTGTGCAGCATTGAAGGTCCCCAAGAACACAGTGGCCTCAATCTTTCTTAAATGGAAGAAGTTTGGAACCACCAAGACTCTTCCTAGAGCTGGCCGCCCGGCCAAACTGAGCAATCGGGGGAGAAGGGCCTTGGTCAGGGAGGTGACCAAGAACACGATGGTCACTCTGAATGAGCTCCAGAGTTCCTCTGTGGAGATGGGAGAACCTTCCAGAAGGATAATCAATCAACCCACCAATCAGGCATTTATGGTAGAGTGGCCAGATGGAAGCCACTCCTCAGTAAAAGGCACATGACAGCCTGCTTAGAGTTTGTCAAAAGGCACCTAAAGGACTCTCAGACCATGAGAAACAAGATTCTCTGGTCTGATGAAACCAAGATTGAACTCTTTGGCCTGAATGCCAAGTGCCACGTCTGGAGGAACCCTGGCACCATCCCTACGGTGAAGCATGGTGGTGGCAGCGTCATGCTGTGGGGATGTTTTTCAGCGGCAGGGACTTGGAGACTAGTCAGGATTGAGGGAAAGATGAACGGAGCAAAGTACGGAGTGATCCTTGATGAAAACCTGCTCCAGAGCACTCAGGACCTCAGACTGGGGTGAAGGTTCACCTTCCAACAAGAAAAACGACCCTAAGCACACAGCCAAGACAACGCAGGAGTGGCTTCGGAACAAGTCTCTGAATGTCCTTGAGTGGCCCAGCCAGAGCCCGCACTTGAACCCGATCGAACATCCCTGGAGAGACCTAAAAATAGCTGTGCAGTGACGCTCCCCATCCGACCTGACAGCGCTTGAGAGGATCTTCAGAGAAGAATGGGAGAAACTCCCCAAATACAGGTGTGCCAAGCTTGTAGCGTTATACCCAAGAAGACTCAAGACTGTAATTGCTGCCAAAAGTGTTTCAACAAAGTACTGAGTAAAGGGTCTCAATACTTATGTAAATGTGATATTTCCTTTTATTTTATAAATTTGCTAAGATTTCTAAAAACCTGTTTTTGCTTTGTCATTATGGGGTATTGTGTGTAGATTGATGAGGAAAAAAATACAATTTAATCCATTTTAGAATAAAGCTGTAACCTAACAAATTGTGGAAAAAGTCAAGGGGTCTGAATACTTTCCTAATGCACTTTATATCAACGAATTGGCGAGGGCACTAGAACAGTCTGCAGCACCCAGCCTAACCCTACTAGAATCTGAAGTAAAATGTCTACTGTTTGCTGATGATCTGGTTCTTCTGTCCCCAACCAAGGAGGGCCTACCACAGCACCTAGATCTTCTGCACAGATTCTGTCAGACCTGGGCCCTGACAGTAAATCTCAGTAAGACAAAAATAATGGTGTTCCAAAAAAGGTCCAGTTGCCAGGACCACAAATACAAATTCCATCTAGACACCGTTGCCCTAGAGCACACAAAAAAAAAGACACATACCTCGGCCTAAACATCAGCGCCACAGGTAACTTCCACAAAGCTGTGAACAATCTGAGAGACAAGGCAAGAAGGGCCTTCTACACCATCAAAAGGAACATAAAATTTGACATACCAATTAGGATCTGGTACTTGAATCAGTTATAGAACCCATTGCCCGTTATGGTTGAGGTCTGGGGTCCACTCACCAACCAAAAATTCACAAAATGGGACAAACACCAAATTGAGACTCTGCATGCAAAATTCTGCAAAAATATCCCCCGTGTTCAACATAAAACACAAAATAATGCATGCAGAGCAGAATTAGGCCGATACCCACTAATTACAGTGAGGGAAAAAAGTATTTGATCCCCTGCTGATTTTGTACGTTTGCCCACTGACAAAGACATGATCAGTCTATAATTTTAATGGTAGGTTTATTTGAACAGTGAGAGACAGAAAGACATTCCAGAAAAACGCATGTCAAAAATGTTATACATTTATTTGGATTTTAATGAGGGAAATAAGTATTTGACCCCTCTGCAAAACATGACTTAGTACATGGTGGCAAAACCCTTGTTGGCAATCACAGAGGTCAGACGTTTCTTGTAGTTGGCCACCAGGTTTGCACACATCTCAGGAGGGATTTTGTTCCACTCCTCTTTGCAGATCTTCTCCAAGTCATTAAGGTTTCGAGGCTGACGTTTGGCAACTCGAATCTTCAGCTCCCTCCACAGATTTTCTGTGGGATTAAGGTCTGGAGACTGGCTAGGCCACTCCAGGACCTTAATGTGCTTCTTCTTGAGCCACTCCTTTGTTGCCTTGGCCATGTGTTTTGGGTCATTGTCATGCTGGAATACCCATCCACGACCCATTTTCAATGCTCTGGCTGAGGGAAGGAGGTTCTCACCCAAGATTTGACGGTACATGGCCCCGTCCATCGTCCCTTTGATGCGGTGAAGTTGTCCTGTCCCCTTAGCAGAAAAACACCCCCAAAGCATAATGTTTCCACCTCCATGTTTGACTGTGGGGGTGGTGTTCTTGGGGTCATAGGCAGCATTCCTCCTCCTCCAAACACGGCGAGTTAAGTTGATGCCAAAGAGCTCGATTTTGGTCTCATCTGACCACAACACTTTCACCCAGTTCTCCTCTGAATCATTCAGATGTTCATTGGCAAACTTCAGACGGCCCTGTATATGTGCTTTCTTGAGCAGGGGGACCTTGCGGGCGCTGCAGGATTTCAGTCCTTCACGGCGTAGTGTGTTACCAATTGTTTTCTTGGTGACTATGGTCCCAGCTGCCTTGAGATCATTGACAAGATCCTCCCGTGTAGTTCTGGGCTGATTCCTCACCATTCTCATGATCATTGCAACTCCACGAGGTGAGATCTTGCATGGAGCCCCAGGCCGAGGGAGATTGACAGTTCTTTTGTGTTTCTTCCATTTGCGATTTTTTTGTTGTTATTCTGTCTCTCACTGTTCAAATAAACCTACCATTAAAATTATATACTGATCATTTCTTTGTCAGTGGGCAAACGTACAAAATCAGCAGGGGATCAAATACTTTTTTCCCTCACTGTATCAAAATCCAGAAAAGAGCCGTTAAATTCTGCAACCACCTAAAAGTATAGTGATTCCCAAACCTTACATAACAAAGCCATCACCTACAGAGAGATGAACCTGGATAAGAGTCCCCTAAGCAAGCTGGTCCTGGGGCTCTGTTCACAAACAGACCCCACAGAGCCCCAGGATAGCAACACAATTAGACCCAACCAAATCATGAGAAAACAAAAAGATAATTACTTGACACATTGGAAATAATTAATCAAAAAACAGAACTAGAATGCTATTTGGCCCTAAACAGAGAGTACACAGTAGAAGAATACCTGACCACTGTGACTGACCCAAAATTAAGGAAGGCTTTGACTATGCACAGACTCAGTGAGCATAGCTTTGCTATTGAGAAATGCCACCGTAGGCAGACCTGGCTCTCAAGAGAAGACAGGCTATGTGCACACCGCCCACAAAATGAGGTGGAAACTGAGCAGCACTTCCTAACCTCCTGCCAAATGTATGACCATATTAGAGACACATATTTCCCTCATATTACACAGACCCATAATGAATACAAAAACAAATCCAATTTTGATAAACTCCCATATCTATTGGGTGAAATACCACAATGTGCCATCACAGCAGCAAGATTTGTGACCTGTTGGAGAACACAAAACCACTGTAAATACAAACCATATTTATGTTTATTTATCTTCCCTTTAGTACTTTAACTATTTGCACATCGTTACAACACTGTATATAGCCATAATATGACATTTGAAATGTCTCTATTCCTTTGGAAGTTTTGTGACTTTAATGTTTACTATAAAACAATTTTTTCACTATTGTTTATTATCTATTTCCCTTGCTTTGGCAATGTAAACATATGTTTCCCATGCCAATAAAGCCCTGAGAGAGAGAGAGAGAGAGAGAGAGAGGAGAGCGAGAGCGAGAGCGAGAGCGAGAGCGAGAGCGAGAGCGAGAGCGAGAGAGAGAGAGAGAAAAGGCACGTGAACTGATATAGTGTGGACAGGAATAAGGATGAAGAGGCGGCGGAGGGAGTAGAGAGAAGCACTCATCTTATTTCCCCTGCTACACTAAGACTGTAACAAACAACATCAGAGGAGACCTTCTGGATTGAAGAGGAGGGAAAGGAGAAAGAATAGAGGAGGACGGAGCCTCTCTGGTGTATGTGAGGAGGGGTATGAATGTACACAGATGTCCTGTTACCATAGTCGTGCCCTTGTTCTGAGACATTCTCTATCTCCAGGGTCCACTCCCCTCGAGGGTCCTCGTCCCATGAGTGGGTGGTCATGAACGCCCAGTCATTAAATCCCTCTGATGAGTAGTCTTTAGGCCTGAAAAGAGGGCGAGAGAGAGTGGGGGGGAGATAGAGGGGGGGAGATAGAGAGAGACATGGGGAGGGAGAGCAAGTGGGAGAGAGAAAGAGGGGGAGAGAAAGAGGAGGGGATAGAACGAGAGGAGGGGAGAGAGAGAGAGAGAGAAACAGAGACACAGAGAGAAAAACAGAAAAAACATTCATCTCATTGCAACCACCATGAACAGAGCAGGGCTCTTCAAAAACAACACCTCCCAGAACGGCTGTCAAAAATACACTTCAAGCTAACAGAGCTGTAAAACAACAAGCACTGCATATGTTTTTCTGTGAACGTGTGTATGTTTACCTGGGGGGATCGTATATCTAGCGGACTGATACTGTATGAGGTTGATGAGGTTTCCTTTGTATATCTACAGTAGATGTGTGTGTGTGAGAGTACCTGGGTGCCAGCAGTGTAGAGCGTGTCCCTAGGGGGCTGATGAGGTGTATAGCCAGGTTTCCTCTGTGGTTGTAGGAGAGAGTGAGGCAGGCCTGGACGTGCTCCAGAGAGCTGACATACTCTGGTTTGCCCCAGCAGGCATCCAATGTCTTACTGAACAGCAGCCGGCTGCTTATGTCCCTAGGCTCTGAGAGCATGGTGAGAACACACTGGTGCTGTGGGCCCACACTTGTCCAGTTCTGAGCCAGGGCCACCATGGCCCCCGCATCCAGCAGACCATACCCATACGAATGACTCACTGAGACAGAAAAAGCATGAGAGAAGTTATGAAGAGTCAAGTGAGTCCATTTATCATGTAGTTCAGTTAGCCAAGGCATGTCCAATGAGAGCTCTCCTGTTACCTCTGCGGCCCACTCCATTGGTCCTCCAGTCGTCAGTGCTGAGGTGGGCGGGGTGAGAAGTTCTCACCACCAGGTGCTGCATGTCCCTCCACGTCAGGTTCATACTATACAGAGAGAGACGAATATGTATTCTTATGTTAGAGATATTCTAATAAAAGAGAGGAGAGTTTAACAGAAATATTCTAGTGAGAGAGATATCCCTCCATATCAGGTTCATACTACAGGCAGATAGGAAAGATAAAGACATACAATACAAAAAAGATGGATACAATCATCACTAGAAGCCTGAGGGATATGTCAGGGACATGTCAGTGTCAGTCACCCAAAGCTGTGAAATGGACGTGGTCCATAATGTTTTAACAGCAGTGTCCAGTAACAGCACCATTATAAAGGCAGCCATAAACACTGGTGTTTAATGGTGAGAGAACACAGTAAAACCTCATAGTAGGATAACAGGGTACTGTACTGTACAGCAAGCTGAGCTGACAAATTTCCCTAAGTGGTACCGCTCGTCTGTGCGGCTGTTTTCGACTGTCGGGGCAGATCACGTGGTCAAGCCAGCTGTGTGAACTTAGCGCTACCCACAGTGGAGCACCAGCAAAGCAGTCAGTAATGACAACTAGCCTTCATGTAGCTCCTAATGGTTTTGTTCTGGGAGGATGCCGGGACAGGTCACCTTCCACTAAGTAGAAGGGCCATATTAAATCTCTCCAGCTGATTTAGCAGCAGTAGGTAGGGCAGAGTGGACCAGACGTTTAGGGAACATATGCCTTTGAAGTGAGCAGAGAAAAGGAGGACTGCGGGCGAAGATAATCAAACCATGAATCACATGGGTTTACTGCTCACCTCGCTGCTCGCCGCGGTGCGCCGGGCCAAGACAAAAATAGAAGCGATAGACCCACTCCACAGCGCGACAGCGGTAGAGGCAGTAGCAGACTCTCACCTCAACAACCTTCCACATCCACACGCTCCCTCCATCAGCATTCACGTCTCACACTCTCTCATGTGTTATTAATAGACATGAACCTCCATCCAATCAATGTCACCTCGCTGGAAAAACAGCACTCTCCCTATTAAATGATTCCATCTCCATGAATTCCATCTCCTGAGGAAATACAGGCTGCCCTGTTATTGCTCTCTCTGGGGAAATGCTGAGGTGACCTACACTTTGGAGAATTATTGGGTTTGGACTGTCATTGTCTGTGAATTATAGGGTATATTGAAGCAAACTTCCTCCCTGCCTTCACAATGCCCTTCTCTGTTGCTGCAGTGGCTGGGGGGTGGCAATGACTACCAGTATGCAGTATATGTTTGTACTGTATGTGCAATGCTTGACTTGGACTGAAATAGGTGCTGGTACTCATTGTGGGTGCCGGTACTGTTTATATTTAGGCGCAGGAGCTCCACAATACTTTTAATATATTCTATAAGAGGAACAGGAGGGGGGGGGGGGGGGGGGGGGGGGGGGGTGTATGAGAGTGTGTGAGACAGTGGCTGTATCTCAAAAGGTTCCAAAAGGGTTCTTGCGGAGGGATAGAGTTTTTACCAATAACTGTTTTTATCTGAAGAACCCTTTTTGGAAGACGAGGGATCTTGGTAAGGCAAAGTGCTCTATCTAGAACCTTTAACATCATATTATTAAACGGGTGGGTCTAATCCTGAATGCTGATTGGTTAAAACCACATTCCAGCCGGTGTCTATTCCACAAGTTACCACCGGCTAAATCTATGACGTTAAAATGCCTATTTACTCTGTTCCATCTGACTGTGCAATCCACTGTCTCATAAGCCCAGCCAAGCAATTTATAAACTTGATCTCCACTATAAAAAGCATCTAGACATTATCTCACATTTATTTTAGACTAATATTTAGTTTTTAACAGTGGAGATTTGTATAAACCTTGCTGTCTGTCTCTCCGACATTTGCAACATTGTTTCAATTTTCAAATTCGATCTCCAGCTGTCCCATAGTAATGAATGTGTTGGGACGAGATGGACAGACAGGCAGAATTCTCAGCCAGTCTAAATAATTTGTATGGATATATACAAAGAAATGTCAATTGAAAAAAGGTAAAACGAAACGAAGTGCAGCTAGTTTGCAGTCTTTCCAGCTTCTGTTTGAAGTGATTGTGTTAACTGTGTTGTTGGCTAGCTCCTCTGAACAACAGTGTCCTGACGAGTGAGCACATTTTCTATGCCAGGCGATATTGCGCCTCATTAGCTCATTGTTATGGATGTATCCAAATAAATGTCACTAGAAAACAGCTTAACCTCTTAAGGATCGGACCCTTTTTTCTATTTTTGCCTAAAATGACATACCCAAATCTAACTGCCTGTAGCTCAGGACCTGAAGCAAGGATATGCATATTCCTGATACCATTTGAAAGGAAACACTTTGAAGTTTGTGGAAATGTGAAATTAATGTAGGAGAATATAACACATTAGATCTGGTAAAGATAATACAAACAAAAAAACGTGTTTTCTATAAATAAAATTGTTCCATAATCTTAGCGCACGTTAGCTCAACCGTCCCGTATACGGGACACCGATCCCGTAGAGGTTAAACAAATGCAAATGCAGCTACTTTGCTGTTATTCTGACTGTAAGTTAGCCGTAGTTGGCTAGCTAGCAAGCAAGGGATAAGAACGTTGCCAGCCAGTATGCCAATGGAACATTTAGAACGAACGACTGGGTCCATAGATACAGAACAAAAAGACTGAACGACTGGGTCGCGTCTTTAGCAACTGAACAGATAGAACGAACGACCAGCCGGCTTGGGTAGCAACACTAGATTTGAGTCGGGACTATATCTTGTGGAAGGATGAAATAGCATGAATAAATTCATCCGAATAATATTTGTAATGAAAATATGTCAATCATTATTGAATATGTTGATAACCCGTTGTATAAAAGTGATCACTATGTGATCACGCTCTCCGTAGCCAATGTGAGCAAGACCTTTAAACAGGTCAACATTCACAAAGCCGTGGGGCCAGACGGATTACCAGGACGTGTACTCCGAGCATGCTCTGACCAACTGGCAAGTGTCTTCACATTTTCAACCTGTCCCTGTCTGAGTCTGTAATACCAACATGTTTCAAGCAGACCACCATAGTCCCTGTGTCCAAGAACACTAAGGTAACCTGCCTAAATAATAATAACTACAGACCGTAGCTCTCACGTCTGTAGCCATGAAGTGCTTTTAAAGGCTGGTCATGGTTCACATAAACACCATTATCCCAGAAATCCTAGAAACACTCCAATTTGCTTACTGCCCCAAAAGATCCACAGACGATGCAATCTCTATTGCACTCCACACCGCCCTTTCCCACCTGGACAAAAGGAACACCTATGTGAGAATGCTATTCATTGACTACAGCTCAGTGTTCAACACCATAGTGCCCTCAAAGCTCATCACTAAGCTATGGACCCTGGGACTAAACCCCTCCCTCTGCAACTGGATCCTGGACTTCCTGACGGGCCACCCCAAGGTGGTAAGGGTAGGTAAAAACACATCTGCCACTCTGATCCTCAACACGGGGGCCCCTCAAGGGTGTGTGCTCAGTCCCCTTCTGTACTCCCTGTTCACCCATGACTGCATGGCCAGGCACGACTCCAACACCATCATAAAGTTTGCCGACGACACAACAGTGGTAGGCCTGATCACCGACATCGACGAGAAAGCCTATAGGGAGGTCGTCAGAGACCTGGCCGTGTGGTGCCAGGATAACAACCTCTCCCTTATTGTGATCAAGACAAAGGAGATGATTGTGGACTACAGGAAAAAGAAGAGGACCGAGCACGCCCCCCATTCTCATCGACAGGGCTGTAGTGGAGCAGTTTGAGAGATTCAAGTTCCTTGGTGTCCACATCACCAACAAACTATCATGGTCCAAACACACCAAGACAGTCGTGAAGAGGGCACGACAAAGCCTATTCCACCTCAGCAGACTGAAAAGATTTGGCATGGGTCCTTAGATCCTCAAAAAATTATACAGCTGCACCATCGAGAGCATCCTGACTGGTTGCATCACTGCCTGGTATGGCAACTGCTCGGGGTAGTGCGTACGGCCCAGTACATCACTGGGGCCAAGCGTCCTGCCATCCAGGACCTCTATACCAGGCGGTGTCAGAGGAAGGCCCTAAAAATTACCAAAGACTCCAGCCACCCTAGTCAGAGACTGTTCTCTCTGCTACTGCACGGCAAGCGGTACCGGAGTGCCAAGCCTAGGTCCAAAAGGCTTCTTAACAGCTTCTACCCCCAAGCCATAAGACTCTTGAACAGCTAATCAAATGGCCACCCGGACTATTTGCATTGTTCCCCCCCACCCCCACCCCCTCTTTTACGCTGCTGCTACTCTCTGTTCATTATCTATGCATAGTCACTTTAACTCTACCTACATGTACATATTACCTCAATTACCTCGACTAACCTGTGCCCCCGCACATTGACTCTGTACCGGTACCCTCTGTATATAGGTACCCCTTTCCACATTTTGTTATGTTACAGCCTTATTCTAAAATTGATTTAATACATTTTTTCCTCATCAATCTACACACAATACCCCATAATGTCAAAGTGAAAACTGGTTTTTAGAAATGTTAGCAAATTTATAAAAATAAGTATTCAGACCCTTTGCTATGCGACTCGAAATTGAGCTTTCCATTGATCTTCCTTGAGATGTTTCTACAACTCGATTGGAGTCCACCTGTGGTAAATTCAATTGATTGGACATGATTTGGAACAGCACACACCTGTCTATATAAGGTCCCACAGTTGACAGTGCATGTCAGAGCAAAAACCAAGCCATGAGGTCGAAGGAATTGTCCGTAGAGCTCCGAGACAGGATTGTGTCGAGGCAGCATTGAAGGTCCCCAAGAACACAGTGGCCTCCATCATTCTTAAATGGAAGTTTGGAACCACCAAGACTCTTCCTAGAGCTGGCTGCCCGGCCAAACTGAGCAATCGGGGGAGAAGGGCCTTGGTCAGGGAGGTGACCAAGAACACGATGGTCACTCTGAAAGAGCTCCAGAGTTCCTCTGTGGAGATGGGAGAATCTTCCATAAGGACAACCATCTCTGCAGCACTCCACCAATCAGGCCTTTATGGTAGAGTGGCCAGACGGA